CTCTGTCACCCAGACTGGAGTGCAGTGGCCGCTCCCGGCCACCGCAACCTTGACCTGCTGGGCTCCGGCGATCCTTCCACCTCAGCCTTCCAAGTAGCTGGAATTACAGGCATGCGCTACCACGCCCAGCTGATTTTTTGATTTATTATGGAGATGAGGTTTTTTTATTGTAGAGACGAGGTCTCGCCAAGTTGCATAGGCTGGTCTCGAACCCCTGGGTTGAGGCAATCCTCTCACCTTGGCCTTCCAAAGTGCAGGGATTACAGGCATGACCCACCTCATTCAGGTTAGATGGCTGTTAAATGAATGAAGGAATGGATGAATGAAATTAATGAGCCTAAGTCTTAGATTTTTACTTTTGATCCTGTTTATGGGTGGATTTGAGTTCATTTTATACCTTTCTAAATTTTTATGTCAGTGGATACAATTTGGGTTTTAGTGTTGAAAGAACACTCTTTTTGAGGTCATTTAGTCCTGTCCCCTCCCCAGTACAGCAACCCTGCCTACTGTTTGCCCTCTTCCTATTTGGCAGGAGTTTTCTGAGTGCCAGGTCTTCAATATCTTGCAAATGAATTTGCATTTCTTAACATTTACTACTTTCCTAACCTGACTCAGTTAAATGTCCCTATACTACTTATTGCAGTGCCATTTCCTACATTCTCTTTATCACATTAATATGTGATTTTAAGTGTAAAGTCCAGATGTATATAGTGGTGGATTTGGTGATAGTTACATGGCTTTTCATTTGTTTTGCTTTTTTCCGAGTTGTCCTATTTTCACATGGTGCCATAGTAGGTTTTTTAATATTTCCTAAGCCTTGTCCTCAGTAGAAAATACTTAGAAAAAAAGAGCAGACGTTTTTCTGAATACATTGTATTCCCCACTCAGTAGGAATGGGGGCTTTTGTCTCTTCCTAGATTGTTGGGCTGCACACGAACATTGACTTTTTACTCAACCTGTCTGGCCACCCAGAGTTTGAAGCTGGGCACGTGCACACTGGTTTCATCCCTCAACACCACAAAGAGCTGTTGCCCAGTCGGAAGGCTGCAGCCAGAGAGTTTTTATGCCAGGCAGCTCTGGGCCTCATCCTCAAGGAGAAAGCTATGACCGATGGTTTCACACTTCAGACACATGGTACGGAATACTTTTCTGTTGTCTGCTTGTCAAGTCTTATGAATGATCATCGAACATGCTTTTCTTTCTTCATGCCACTCTTGCCCTCCCTTTTCTTCTCTCAGTGACTGACACCTTTCTCTTTATTTATTTTGAGTCTCACTCTGTTTCTCACTCTGTTTCTCAGGCTGGAGTGCAGGGGCTCCATCATGGCTCACTGCAATCTCCTGGGCTCAGGCAATCTTTCAGCCTCAGCCTTCTGAGTAGCTGGGACTACTAGCATGTGCCACCATGCCCAGCTGATTTTTTTATCTTTTGCAGAGATGAGGTCTCATTATGTTGCCCAGGCTGGTCTTGAACTCTTGGGCTCAAGTGATCCTCCTGCCTTGGCCTCTCAGAATGCTGGGATTACAGGCATGAGCCACCGCACCTGGCCAACACCATTGCTTTTAGATGTGTTTTTTAGTATGAAGGAGAGTTCTTCACATATGAACATAACCATAAATACGAATTAGTTACCCATTGAATGTAGTTTAACTCATCACATTATAGAAATAGGTTTCTTTCAACTAATTTTTCACAAATCCCATGCCAGTTTCTTGTGGCTACTTTTGTTTGCCACTCCCCATGGCTTACTTTGTTGTATCCTCTGACGTGCAGCAACTCCCTTTGTTCCAGAATCTAAAGACAGCACAGTGGAGACTCTTAGAGTATCTTGGGTTACCCATGGTTTATTGTTGAGTTACTCCTTTATCTGTTTTCACCTATGATTAAATTCTGTCTAACTAGAGGCTTAGGTACTACACAATGTCATAAGAGTCTGAGCATAGACATGACTAAGGCAGGGATTCCTTCACATGCCTGTCTCAATGTCCCCACTAAGTTGTTGCCTCCCCTCTTCCTAACACCACAGAAAACTGGAAATTCATTGCCTCATCAGGTAGCTTATAGTTCCAATCATCTCTCCTTCCTTTCGAATAGATCCAAAATCTGATCTCTTCCAAGCATACGAGGTCCGACAATTAGGTTCACAAACCATCCTAGAAAATGTGCTACATGCCTCATTAATGCATATCACTATGGTCACCTTGAAAGTGCTCTCCTTGGGATTCTGTGCACCGATGCCAGCACCCAGTTCACCTATCAAAGCAATTTTGGGACTCTTTTTCTGTAATGGCCGTCAGAGCAATCATCATTATTTGTTGAGGTCTGAAAATTAAGTTTGCAAACCTGCCACTATGCACTTACATTGGCAGCACTGTACAAATAACTGTATAAGAACACCCTCCCTACTCACCTGATCTGTCTCCCAATGACCTTTTTCTTTACCCAAACATAAAGGAAATATTGAAAGGAAGACATTTGATGACATTCAGGACATCAAAGGTGGTACAATGATGGCTGTGATGGCTACTCCAGAAAAAGAGTTCCAAAATTGCTTTGATGTGTGGACTAGGCAGCTTCCCAAGGGGAGTACTTTGCAGGCAGCTGTAGTGATATTTAGCAATGAGGTATGTAGCACTTTTTCTAGAATAAGTTTGTGAACTTAATTGACAGACCTTATACTCTATAGTATTTACTTAGGTTAACTCTGACCTTTGGAGCAAACAGAATCTTAAAGATCTGTAATCTATCTCTTACTATTATTAGGAGTATTATATGACCCTTTACAGGTTGAGCATTCCAAATCCCCAAATCCAAAATCTAAAATACTCCAAAGTCCAAAACTTTTTGAGCACCGACAGAACACTCAAAGGAAATGCTTGTTGTAGCATTTCAGATTTCAAATTTTTGTATTAGGGTTGCTGATCCAATAAATATAATGCAGGTATTCCAAAATCTGAAGAAAAAATATAAAATTCAAAACACTTATGCCCCAGGCATTTCAGATAAGGCATTCAAGAACCTGTATTATAAGATCCTATAACTAGAATCCTTAATTTCTCGATTCATTCAAGATAGTTAACATTGGAAGCTTAAAATATAAAATACTGTAAAAGCTTAAAACTACATCTTTAGGAGATTTATGTTCTACTCTCATTTTGTCCTTTTACACTGAGTGAAAATGCATCTGAATATGTCCCATGTTGTATTCCTGAGCCTGAACTTAACATTTTTAGAATGGAGTATCCGATTACTATTACGTTCCTTTTTACACTTTTACTGGTGCAGGTATGAGCTTCAGAACAAAGTGCTTCAGTTTAGTTATGCTATAGTCACACACCTGTAGGGACTGGACCAGTCAAAAGAGTCAAAAAGGTCAAATGAAAGAGGCTTAGGTCACCAGAGGATGAGAGTTTAGGTTGCACTTAGGTTCAAGAGAAGCTGGAATTTTTTCATATGAAATTTCCTAGGATGTAAATAAAAGTATCTGTTTAAATTTAAAACAATGAGAAGAACAAAGAAAATGTATTAGATCTGCCAGTTTAGGACTTGTGTTTTATCTTTTAGGTTTTTTTTTTTTTGAGTTGGAGTCTCACTCTGTCACCCAGACTGGAGTGCAGTGGCTGCTCCTGGCCACCGCAGCCTCGACCTGCTGGGCTCCGGCGATCCTTCTGCCTCCGCCTTCCAAGTAGCTGGAACTACAAGCGCGTGCTACCACGCCCAGCTAATTTTTTGAATTATTGTAGAGATGAGGTCTCACCAAGTTGCCCAGGCGGGTCTCGAACCTGCGGGCTCAGGCAATCCATTTACCTCAGCCTCCAAAGCGCGGGATTACAGGCTGAGCCACCAAGACCAGCTTATCTTTTGTTTTGTACGTTATAAATTTAGTAGGTTTGATATTTATAAATTTGTTATTGAATTTTAAATTTTTTCTAGATCAGTTCTCCCCATTTACATCTAGCAGTGGAAGAAGACTGAATATGGCTTATACCAGAAACATGACTCTTAGAGATGGTAAAAAAGGTAAGAAATGTTTTATTGAAAGAGAAATGTGAGTCATACAAATGTATCATGTTAACTTGAAAAAGAGGATTCACCCTGGTCAATTACATTTTTTTTCAAATGTCTAGCCTAAACATTGGAAGGAAATGCAACAAAATAATAGAATTGATTGGCTTTGGGTAGTAGAGTTAATAGTATTCACTTTTCTTTTTTATACTTTAAAAATATTTTATAAATATTATAAAAATATGTCCTAAAACACACATAGCAAAACAGCTGAAATAAAATTTACCAAAATATGTGAGGGTATTAGGTTTTGAGGTAATCTCTTTTTCCTCAATTTTTTTAACTTTGCCTTTCAGTTTTTCTGCAGAAAGAGTGTAGTATTTTAAATAAGAAAAACAATATGCAAAACTATGGCAGAGAGGCAGGATGACCCACTGCTCAGGCAATGTTTTGGGTGTTTCAGGTGGAAGTGGGTCACTAAAGAGCTATAATTTATGAAGTGCCTTATCACATGCAAATTTGTATCTTCCTAACAACTTAAGGAGGGAGAGGCACTGTTATACCCACCTATGGATAATGACAGCATGGATGATGTGGCACAGAAGTTAAGTAACTTACTGGAGGCTAGTAAGTGGCAGAGCCAGGATTGATACCTCCTCTTTTTGACATTGACTCCCATGCTATTTCCACAACTTTTCTAGTAGAAAATTGATTTTTTATTGCAAACTCATTTAAGTAGGCTCAAGTAAGGGACTGATTTATTTTAACTGAATAGTTAAATAATAAGAGGAGGCTGACACCTAAGCCTGAACGCAGTTTATAAATTTATGCCTGGAATGACGTACCAGAAGGATCAGAAGCCTGCAATCCCTGGTAACTGCTTCCCTTATGCTGAAGGATAGTTTGCATGGGAAGGCAGATGGGCACAGTCAGAGCTGAGAATACTGGATAACCTTGAATGTGAGATATCATTGAACTATGACAGCGCCATTACAAAAATGTGCTTCCCAGGCAGAGCAGAATCCTCTTGCCAGCTGATCACAGTCCTCTCTTCTCTGGACAGAGGAAAGTCTTCTCTACTTCAGCGCTATGAGGACATCCACTCACCTAGTAACAAATTCTTCATACAAGTTGATTGGATCACAGCCTAGATAGCCATTACCTTAAGTGCTTTGGGTATGTTGCTAAACCTTTATAAAGAAAGCTTGCAAACATCCTTTATATGGTAGCATTCTGCAAATGGTTAAACCATTCACTTATGCTGATGTGTTTGCTCGTTTCAGCCTAAAAAACAGCCACCAAAATCTGGGAGTATCTTACTCTAGACTTCTATATGCCAAGTACAAGTGTCAAAAGCAAGCCGGGCTCAGTGGCTCAGCCTGTAATCCCGTGCCTTGGGAGGCTGAGGTGAGTGGATTGCCTGAGCCCGCGGGTTCAAGACCCGCCTGGGCAACTTGGTGAGACCTCATCTCTACAATAAGTCAAAGAATTAGCCGGGCGTGGTAGCGCGTGCCTGTAGTTCCAGCTACTTGGAAGGCTGAGGCGGAAGGATTGCCGGAGCCCAGCAGGTCGAGGCTGTCGTGGCCGGGAGCAGCCGCTGCACTCCAGTCTGGGCGAAGAGTGAAACTCCGACTCAAAAAAAAAAAAAAGTACATAATTAAAAGGCCAATGTGATTGCTATTCACTTTACACCCTTTCGGAAGTACTCTATGAAAGAAACCCAGGTCTGTGTATAACAACTTTCAGAAATGTTATATAGGTGAGTCTCTAGAAGATGCTAACCAGCAGTGACTAAATAGAAGCCTGAAGGACCAGAAGCATTTATAAAGTTAAAGTAGAACCAGGTTGTAGTGATTTCAGTGAGAATAACCAAATTTTTTTTTTTAGTCAGTATCTTACTCTGTCACCCAGGCTGGAGTGCAGTGGCACGCTCACAGTCAGCACAGCCTTGACTTGCTGGACTCAAGCAATCCTTCTGCCTCAGCCTTCCAAGTAGCTGGAACTACAGGTGTGCTCCACCATGCCCTGCTAATTTTTAGAGTTATTGTAGAGATGAGGTCTCACCAGGTTGCCCAGGCTGGTCTCAAACCCCTGAACTCAAGCAATCCTCTCACCCTGGCCTCCCACAGTGCTGGGATTACAGGTGTGAGCCACTGTGCCCAGCTTGGCCAAATATCTTAAACATGAAAGACTTGAAAATATTCTTACTTTATTAGTAGTTGCCATGTTTCACAGAACCCTGCCCAGCCCTCAATAATAATAATAGCTAAGATTTATTAGCGTTTGGTATATCTAATACATGTTAAATACTTACCAAATATTGTTTAATTTCCATTTTGCATTTTCAGTACAGGCCTATGAGATTGATATTACTAGTGTCAACTTTATAAATTATAAAGCTCTCTGAGCCAAGACCAAGGCCAATTTTTCAAAAGTAATTGTGGAGCCAGGATTTGAACCCTCTCCAGGGTGCATGTGCTTACCTAACACTGCACCATGCTAAACCTTCATTCCTTGTTGAATGAATAAGAGGATCTTCAAGATTCTCTTGTGGAGGTTAGGGAGAAACATTTCAGTGGCCCTATAATAATATTTTAAAAGTACTAATCATTTGAGCCTTCAGTGAGTCATAATCTATAGGCTCTACTTCTAATCCTAATCCTCTTGCTTTTACCACCACATCTGCAGTTGCTTCTTCCACTAAAGTCTCGAACCCCTCAAAGTCATCCAGGAGGGTTACAATCGACTTTTTCCAAACTGTTACTGTTGATAATTTTACCTCCTCCCATGAATCACAAATGTTCTTAATGGCATTTAGAAGGTTTTCAATTTACTTTGCCCAGATCCATTAAAAGAATCACAATCTATGGCAGCTATAGCCTTACAGAGTGTATTTCTTAAAAAATAAGACGTGAAAGTCAAAATTACACTTGGATCTATGGATTGCAGAATGAATATTGTGTGAGACATAAAAACAACACTAATCTTCTCATGCATCTTCATCAGAGCTCTTGGGTGACTGTGCATTGTCAATGAACAGTCATATTTTAAAAGGAAACTTTTTTTCTGAGCAGTAAATCTCAACAGTGATCTGTTAAATATATGATAAATCATGCTGTAAGCAGATATGCTGTCATCCATGCTTTGTTAAAGAGCCCAAGCAAGAATAGGTTTAGCATAATTCTTAAGGCTCTAAGATGTTTCATATGGTAAATAAGCATTGGCTTCAACTTAAAATTACCAGCTGCATTAGCCTCTAGTGAGAGAGTTGGCCTATCTTTTGAAACTTTGAAGCCAAACATTGACTTCTCCTCTCTAGCTATGAAGCTCCTAGGTGGCATCTTTTTTTTTGAGTTCGAGTCTCACCCCATTGCCCAGGCTGGAGTACAGTAGCATGCTCACAACCACCGCAGCCTCGACCTGCTGAGCGGAGATTCTTCCACCTCAGCCTTACAAGTAGCTGGAACTACAGGCATGCGCTACCATACCTGGTTAATTTTTTGATTTATTGTAGAGATGAGGTCTCACCAAGTTGCCCAGGCTGGTCTTGAACCCGTGGGCTCAGGCAATCCTCCCAACTCGGCCTCCCAAAGTGGGCAGTTTCTTTTAATAGAAAACGGTTTTATCTGCACTGAAAAGTCTATAATTTAGTGTAGCTACCTTTATCAATTACTTTAGCTCAACCTTCTGGGTCACTTGCTGCAGCTTCTATATCAGCATTTGCTAATGTGCGTTTGTGTGTCACAGAGACAGCTTCTTTCCTTAAACCTCATGAACTAGCCTCTGCCAACTTCAGATGTCTTTTCTGCCGTTTCCTCACTTCTCTCAGCTGTCATTAAATTGAAGACAGGGCCTTGCTCTGTAGTAGGGTTAAGGGAATGTTGTGGCTGGTTTGGTCTTCTTTCCAGACCACTCAGACTTTCTCCATATCAAAAATAAAGCTGTTTTACTTTCTTATCATGTATGTGTTTGCTGGAGTAGTGTTTTTAACTTCCTTCAAGAACTTTTCTTTTGCATTTATGACTTGGCTGTTTGGTACAAGAGGCCTAGCTTTTGGCCTGCTTTAGCTTTTGACACACCTTCCTCATTAAGCTTAATCATTTCTAGCTTTTGACTTAAAGTAAGCAACATGGGATGCTTCTTCCCACTTGAGCACTCAGGGGCCATTGTAGCGTTATTAACTGGCTTAATTTTGATATTGTTGCACCTAAGAGAATAGGGAGGCCTGAGGAGAGGGGGAGAGAGATGGGGATGGCTGGTCAGTGGGGCAGTCGGAACATAAGCAGCCTTGATTGATGAAGCTCACCATATTGTATGGGTGTGGTTTGTGGCACCCCAAAACAATTGTCGACTTAATATCACAGATCGCCATAACAGACACAATAACGGCGAAAAACTTTAAAATATTGTAAGAATTACCAAAATGTGACAGAGAGACACAAAGTAAGTGTGTGCTTTTGGAAAAATGGTGCCAGTAGATTTGCTTGACACTGGGTTGCCACAAACCTTCAGTTTGTATGAAAAAGAAACATAATATCTGTGGGGTGCAATCAAATGAAGTGCAGTAAAACAAGGTGTGCCTATAACATGAACAATTTCTTATGTTTTTGTAGTCTTACAGTTTATAGAGCACGTTCACATTTATTTATTGTTACACTCATTTAATGGCTCAGAAAATCGAGGCTTGGAGATTTAGTGACTTAGTCAAGATCACAGAGATGATCAGATGGCAGATTTCAGTTTTAAATGAAAGCATCTCTTTACCAAATTTGTTGTATTTTCTGCTATAGCACTGCAGCCTTTTTTGTTGAGGGAAAAATATCTAAAATATCCTTCTGCCTTAAAATATCTAAAACTCTATCTTAAAAAAGAAAAGTTTGAAATTCACCCATATAGACACCTGCCTGACATGTTTTTCTAAAGAAAAAAACCCCTGTATTTCCAGGAAGTTAAAATATGTTGATATCCCTTAAATAGTTGGTTTTCTTTAGGTTGAAAGTGAGATTTTTTTTATATCTCAGTTATTGAATAAATGAATGTCTTCTAATTTTTCTTCCTTTGTATTCCTTTTTTCATAAAGATGTAGCCATAGCTGTAACATATAATCGTGATGGGTCTTACAGCATGCAGGTAAGCTATGCTAGTTTTGTTCTGCACTTTAGGACTAAACCTAATTTCTTTTATACTAGGTAGGGTCTTTTTTCACTCTCTTGTTTGTCTTAAGCCTTTGACTATTATGACTGCAGTTAGGAGAACGTCATATGCTTTTATTTCAGACCCAATTTGGGGAAATTACCCCCTGTATAGTTTCTGATTGTTTACTTAGTTGGCTGTCATTCACTTAAGAAAAAAAATTGGCAAAGAGTAAGAGCTTCAGATCAGACACTAACAACCCCTAAAGTATGGTGAATGTGTTTATATCAAAAGCAGTAGTTCTCAAATTTGAGGTCTCAGGAATTTTATGTACTTTTTTTTGAGTCAGAGTCTGTCCGCCAGACTAGAGTGCAGGACTTGCTGGGCTCAGGAGATCCTTCGGCCTCAGTCTTCCAAGTAGCTGGAACTATAGGCGTGCGCCACCACGCCAGGCTAATTTTATGATTTATTGTAGAGACGAGATCTCGCCATGTTGCTCAGGCTGGTCTTGAACCCCTGAGCTCAGGCAATCCTCTTGCCCCCGCCTCCCAAAGTGCTGGGATAACAGACTTGAACCACCACCGCACCTGGTGGAACTTGATATACTTTTTAAAAATTTTGAGTATCTGCTGCCAAAAACTTTTGTGGTAGTCACATCTATTGATATTTACTATTTAGAAAATTTAACTGAGAAAATTTTATCTTTCATCATTTTTAAATTGTGGTAAAATACAGATAACATAAAATTTACCATTTTAACCATTTTTCAATATATAGCTCAGACACATTAATACATTCAACTTGATATAAGTGGAATAATTTGGTATTTATCCTTTTGTGACTGGCTAATTTCACTTAGTACAGCGTCTTCAAGTTCTTCCATGTTGTGGCTTATATCAGAATGTCCTTCCTTTTTAAGACTGAAAAACATTCTGTTGTTATGTATACACCACATTTCTTTATCTGTTCCTTCATCAACAGACACTCAAGTTGTTTCTGCCTTTGGCTATTGTGAATAATGCTACTGTGCACATAGGAGTACAACTATTTCAAGACCCTATTTTCGATTCTTCTGGGGTATATATCCAGAAATGGAATTGCTAGATTATATAGTAATTCTGTTTTTAATTTTTTTGAGAAACCACCTTACTGTTTTTCATAGCAGCTACACCAAATCAGTGCATAAGGGTCCTTGCTACCTCTTATTATTTTCTGTATTTTGGTTTTTTTACAAAAGCTATCCTAATGTATGTGAAGTAGTATCTCATTTTGACTTTAACTTGCATTCCCATAGTGACTAATGATGTTGAGCAGTTTTTTATATACTTATTGCCCATTTGTATATCTTTGGAAAAATCTCTATTCGAGTTCTCTACCTTTTTCAAATTTAGTTGTTTTGATGTTGTTGTTGAGTTGTAGGATAAACTTAAGACTTAAAACCTAAGATTGTTTGGCCAGGCTCAGTGACTCAGCCTGTAATCCCAGCACTTTGGGAGGCCGAGGCGAGTGGGTTGCCTGAGCCCACAGGTTCAAGACCAGCCCGGGAAACGTGGCGAAACCTCATCTCTACAATAAATCAAAAATTAGCTGAGTGGGTAGCGCATGCCTGTAGTTCTGGCTACTTGGAAGGCTGTGGCGGAAGGATCTCTAGAGCCCAACAGGTCAACGCTGGGTTGGCCATGAGCGTGTGTGCCACTGCACTCCAGACTGGGCAACAGAATGAGACTCCAACTCAAAAAAAAAAACCCTAAGATTTTTCAAGTATCTGTTCTGTGAACCATCAGAGTGATAACATTATCACAGGTCCAGTAGCCTCTGGGAAATTCCATTGTATACTTGTACTGATGAGAGAATGAAGATAAAAAGGCAAATAGCCTCTTAGTCTTTTTAAGGAAATGGTTTGACTTTGTGAACCTCCCAAGGGATCTGATGACCCCAAGGGACCCACAGGTCACACCTTGAGAACCTCTAGTACAAGTTTTATGATAGCCCTCCATTAAAAAGTGCATCACTCTGGTGAAATGAAATGCCAAAAAGGTTGAAAGAACAATGTGGGGATTCAATCAAATTCCAATAGTAAGGTACAAATTCAAGGAATAGAATAAATATTATTTCTTTTCTTTCTTTTTGAGTTGGAGTCTCACTCTGTTGCCCAGACTGGAGTGCAGTGGCCGCTCCCGGCCACCGCAGCCTCGACCTGCTGGGCTCCGGCGATCCTTCCGCCTCAGCCTTCCCAGTAGCTGGAACTACAGGTGCGCGCTACCACGTCTGGCTAATTTTTGATTTATGGTAGAGATGAGGTCTCGCCAAGTTCCCCCGGTGGGTCTCGAACCCACGGTCTCAGGCAGTTCACTCACCTCAACCTCCCAAAGGCACGGGATTACAGGCTGAGCCACCGAGCCCGGCTTATTTATTTTCTTTTATAGAGACAGGGTCTCACTGTGTAGCCCAGGCTAGTCTCAACCTCCTGGCCTTAAGTGTTCCTCCCACCTTAGCCTTCCAAAGTGCTAGGATTACAGATGTAAGCCACCATGCCCGGCCCAGAATAAATCATTTTAAATATGTTTTCAAATTTAAGGGTTTTCAAATCCTACAAAATGAATTTATCAGTGATCTGTGTTAGACCTTTCAACACTTTGAGACACACTGGTTTTCTTTCTCTGAAATTCAGAGAAGCCATGGGAAGTCTACCTACTTTAGTATATGACAGTTGTAACTGACATTAGTGCCTCTGGTTTGGGATGATTTCTTTTCCTTTGGTGACTGATAAAGTAAATTGCTGAGTTTTTTTAATCTGTTCATGAAACTACATTTACAATTTTACTTTATTTTTTTGAGTCAGGGTCTTACTTTGTCACCCAGGCTGGAGTGCAGTGACACAATCACAGCTCACCACAGTGACACAATCATAGCTCACCACAGCCTGGGCTCAGGCTATCCTCCCTCTTCGACATCCTGAGTAGGTGGGACTACAGGTGTGTACCACCACACCTGGCTAATTTTTTTATTTTTTGTAGAGATGAGGTCTCGCTATGTTGCCCAGACTGGTCTCAAACTCCTGGGCTCAAGCAGTACACATACAATTTTAGACTGTGCATGAGTGAATCTTTAAACAAAACTGTTTCCAATCTAACCTTTATATCCTGAGAATTTCACAAACATTCAAATGCTTAGTAGGTTACAAAGCACAGTGTCATATTTAGCTAAGAGTAAATGACAGCCAATGTATTAATATTGCAGTGTAATCTCTTTCACCCAATCCTACATAGTATGTTTGAAAAGAATAGTCACAAGACTTGTACATTAACATCATGGGAATTGAAATGAAGAATATTGATAGAAGATTTAAATAGGTCAGGTGTGGTGGCTCATGCCTGTAATCCCAGCACTTTGGGAGGCTGAGGCAAGAGGATTGCCTGGACCTGGGGCGGTTCGAGACCAGCCTGGGCAACTTGATGAGACCTCATCTCTACAATAAATCAAAAATTAGCTGGGCATGGTAGCGTGCGCCTGTAGTTCCAGCTACTTGGAAGGCTGAGGCAGAAGGATTGCCTGAGACCAGCAGGTCAAGACTGCAGTGGCCCTGAGTATGCCACTGCACTCCAGCATGAGCAACAGATTGAGACTCTGACTCAAAAGACAAAAACCAAAAAGAGATTAAATTGGCTTTTTGTGTGTAAACAAAATTTTCTCTTGAGTGTATATGTGGAAAAAATATCATTTAAAACAGAAAGGAGGCCAGGCGTGGCGACCCACAATTGTAATCTTGACACCTTGGGAGCCCGAGGCAGGAATATTGCTTGAGCCCAGGAGTTTGAGACCAGCTGGGCAACATATCAAGACCCAGTCTCCACTTAAACAGAAAAAAAAAAAAAGGTTCCATGTTCTTTCGGCAGCTTCCTTGAAATATGGTGTGAAATCTGTTGTTTGGTATGTGATCTCATAGAGTGAGAAAATTGCAGTCACTCTCTAGCGAATTTGTCTTCTTAAATCATAACTGAAACCCATGAATTGGATCTACACGTTGATGAAATAAAAGAAATACCATCTAATTCTGTGGCTCTGGCTTTTTTTATGCCTGAGTTGGTACAGAAAAACTAAATTTGACTTCACATACTCAGAAATGAATAAATATATGCAAATGAATATTAATAATTTTGCTTAACTTGATGTATATTTTTATTTCACATTTGTATGGCTCTCTCTGTATTCCTAAATGAATCTTTATCTGTCACATTAGGGTACTGTGAGTATGTTATACAACTAATTTTTTTCTTTTAATTCATTTGTTGTTTTTAAAAAATAATTTTAGCATTTTTATTTTATTTTTATTTTTTATTTTCTGTAGAGACAAGGTCTATGTTGCCCAGGCTGGTCTCAAACTCCTGGGCTCGAGGGATTTTCCTACCTTGACCTCCCAGAGTGCTGGGATTCCAGGCATGAACCACCATGTCTGGCCAGCTTACTGTTGTTTCTATCTGAAGTATTCTGGTTAGGAATCTTAGGGGGAAAGTTCCTACATGGCTTTTTTTTCCTTAAGAATTTTATATACTACCTTTGGAATGACTAATAGCAAAGAATTGATTCTGATTTTACTAATCCTGTAGCGTTGTTTGTTTACTTCTTATGTTTCTATTTTTTCAGATTGATGAGAAAACTTTCCAAGTTCTTGGTGATATGTACAGTGAGGGAGACTGCACTTACCTGAAATGTTCTATTAATGGAGTTGCTAGTAGAGCTAAGCTAATTATCCTGGAAAACACTGTTTACCTATTTTCCATGGTAATGTCTCTTCTTTACAATATCACTCTTAGGGTTTAGGGGAAAATTACTTGACCAGAGGCCTTACACTGAAAGAGTTTAGAAGGCTCCTGCTTCCTCTAACTTCCCCTCAGTTTCCCTCTCCACTCTGTGTTCTTTCCCAGATTCCTGCCTTCTATAGTTTCTCCTTCACCTTTTGTTCACACATGGTCTTCATTGACTTCTGAAGCAAATTTCCTTCCTCTTCTTGTCAGAGAGTCTCTCCCTACTCAGTGGGTGGCATTCTCTCAGGGCTTTGATGCCTGAACACTTTTCCCAAGCTCCATCCTTCTGACACTTGCAAGTCTGGTGATTTTGGAGGAGATGACCACTGGGAGGGGGAGCCTGTGGACCCAGTCTTCCTTGTGGGGAAAGGTGGAAGGTGGACAGCAGGAAGGTAAACATGCTGGTGGTGGTTTCTTGGCAGTCAGAGGATAGTGGAGGCAGGCTTGCTTGGTTGTGGTTAGGAGCCTGCTGCCTACTGGGCCTTCAACATTCTGCCTGGGTGGAAAGAGGAGGACGAATTATCAAATACCCTGGCCTCACAGTACCTTGTGATGAGATGTCGCTCATATTTTAGTAACTGAACTACTATATGTGGTAGCCTTGAGAGTTGAGGGTGGTCCCGCTTTACCAGTCATTCCTTTCCATAGTCACTCAAGCTATAACAATATGATGGCCAGGGCACTGTAGGGGAGCAGTGAGGAGCATACGTTCTGGAGTGCAAAGTTGCTTTCCTTCAGATCCTGGCCCTGCCACTTGGCAGCCAAGAGTCCTCAGGCAGCTAACCTCTCTGGCTGTGGTGATTGATGACATAATATATATAAATGTTAAGCAGGGTTCTTGGCAGAGACTAGGCACTCAGTAGTGGGGATGCTGCTAAGAATGGCTTCCAGATAGTGGCTGCCGTTATCTACAGTTACTGCGTGAATTCTTGGAATCCCCTGTGAGGCATGTATACCGTTACACCTTTATAATAGGAAACCAGGACTGAGTAGGGTTCAGTAACTTGCTCAAGATCATAAAGGTAGATTAAAACCTTGGTATTAAAGATGACTAATATTTAACAAATAGCTAGAAAGCAGTCATTATCTTAGATATATTAGTGAAAGAATGGTGATAGGATCTTGATTCCATTTTCTGTTTGTTTTCTGTTTTTAGGAAGGAAATGTTGAGATTGACATTCCAGTCCCCAAATACCTATCTTCTGTGAGCTCAGAAGGCACTCAAGGAGGTACCTTAGCGCCTATGACTGGAACCATTGAAAAGGTAACCATGTGACATCTGTAGAATGATGCTAAGTCCTAATAAATGGCTTTGTTGAATTTTGACACATATATATCCTTTTCCCTTTCTAAATCTTGCTCATGGGAGCACATCCATTTCAAGAAAACAACAGGATCTATTATATATTCAAATTTTGTATTACAGTTTTCAATGAAAATACCCATTACCTAATTTATGATAAAGATTGCTGGTTTTGAAGGTGGAAATTTACATCAAAGTACAAGTAATCTAAGTTGTCTTTTATTATTAAAATGGAGCACTCACCAAGAATTATTCAAAATGGCTAGGTATTTTTGTTGTTTTTTTCAAATGAAAGTATTTTTATATTTTTGAGAAAGAATCTCGCCATATTGCTCAGGCTGATCTTGAACTCGTGGCCTCAAGTGATCCTTCCACTTTGGCCTCCCAAAGTGCTGGAATTATAGGCATGAGCCACCATGCTTAGCCTCAAAAAGGCTGTTTTTAAATGTTAAATTTAACAGCAAGCCAGGAGCAGTGGCTCAAGCCTATAATCGCAGCACTTTGGGAGGCCAAGGCGAGAGGATTGCCTGAGCTCAGGGGTTGGAGACCAGCCTGGGCAAGTTGGTGAGACATTGTCTCTGCAGTAAATCAAAAAATAAGCCAGTTGTGGTAGCTTACACCTGTAGTCCCAGCTACTTGAAAGGCTGAGTTAGAAGGATCGACTGAGTCTAGTAAGTTGAAGCTGTGATGGCTATGAGCATGCCACTGCACTCCAGTCTGGGTGACAGAGTGAGATTCCAACTCAAAAAAAAAAAAAAATAGCAGCAAATAATTTCTTCATGAAATAATGACTTTTTTTCCAATGTGCATAATTGCATGTGTTAAAATAAAGTTTAAAAGGCTGGTATTATCGCTTCTCGGTCTTTTGGCCAAGATCAAGTGTAGTATATTAAGATCCATACTGTCCTAATCCATCAGGCTTCTATAGCAGAATACCATAGCCTGGGTGACTTTTAAACAATAGAAATTTATTTCTTACAGTGTTGGTTGCTGGGAAATCTAAGATCAGGGCATCAGCAGATTATTAGGTGTCTGGTGAGAGTCTGCTTCCTGGTTTCATAAACAACCATCTTTTCCCTGAATCCTCATGTGGTGGATGGAGCAAGCGACCTCCCTCTAGCCTCTTTTATAAGGACACTAATCCCATTCATGAAGGCAGAACCCTCATGACCTAATCACCTCCCAAAGGCCCCACCTCCAAATACTATCACTTTAGGGGTAGAAGTTCAACATATGAGCCAGGTGTGGTGGCTCACGCCTGTAATCGCAGCACTTTAGTAGGCTGAGGCAGGAGGATTGCTTGAGCCCAGGAGTTCAAGACCAGCCTAGGCAACATAGTGAGACCTCATCACTACAAAAAAAAATTTTTAATTTTAATTGATACATGCTTGTATTCCCAGCTACTTGGGAGGCTGAGGCAGAAAGATCACCTGAGCCCAGGAGGTCAAGGCTGCAGTGAGCTGTGATCGTGCCACTGCACTCCAGCCTGGGCACGACAAAGTGAGACTCTGGCTCAAAAAAAACCAAAAAACAAAAAAACCCAATTTCAGCGTATGAATTTTGGAGGAAAACACAAACCTGTAGACCATAGAACATGCTGTCATAACATCACAAGGTGATGTATTAGCAGTCTCCTTCTATATACTTGAATGCAGTAGAGTCTCCTTAAATATATTTGTCATAAAAATCCAACTATATATCTTTGTTGCCAAAAAAAAAAAGAAGAAAATAACTTTTTTTTTTGAGTCAGAGTCTTTGTCACCCAGGCTGAAGTGGAGTGGCATGCTCACAGCCACCGCAGCCTCAGCTCACTGGGCTCAGGCGATCCTTCCACCTCAGCCTTCCAAGTAGCTGGAACTACAGGCGTACACCTCCATGCTTGGCTAATTTTTTTGTTTATTGTAGAGATGAGGTCTCACCAAGTTGCCCAGGCTGGTCTTGAACCCCCGGGCCCAGGCAACCCTCTCGCCTCCGCCTCCTAAAGTGTTGGGATTACAGGCGTGCGCCACCACACCCAGCTGAAAATAACTATTTAAATAGTGTGGATAATTTCCCACTGTTTCCCTCTGGGAGATGAGCTAGGTAGCCTGACCTGGCTTTAGCTTGCTCAATTTCAGTTCTCAGGCCTCTCACGGTGTAGGCGTTCCGGCACTACCCTGATGGTCCTCACTGAGAGTTGCACATTTCCCCCATGGGCCCAGGCCCCTTCACCCAGGCCGTTGACGTCTTACAGCTATAGTAAAGCCTCGCCCAGGACGGGGTGACCTGCGGGGCTTTCAAGGGTGCTTCCTACTCCACAGATTTGGCTGTATGCCAACATCAGCACCTAACTCCACATTGATGTTTCCAGAAACTCCTTGGTGATCATGTTAATCAAAACAACACTGAGACCATAAGGGATCTATGAGTTTACTTATACATGGAAAAAGGAAAATAGACCTAGTTTCTGGGGTTGTTTAATTCTCTCATGTGAAGATTATCTAAACTCTCACTACACAGGCCTCACTACCCTAAGACCTCAAATACTATTTATCAGACAACCCCAAAACCAGAAAAACAGTCCAGACCCTCATCTTCACACCCTATCTGTGGTGGAGACATTTAAGTGTATTATTCCTTTTTGGTTGGTAATGTGTCTTATTTTTACATTCATGAAAATAAAAGGATACCAAGTATATAAAGCGTATTCATCTGATTCAAGCAAAACTAGGTGGTTTGATGCTCTGCATGTTGACATATCTACTCTATGGACCACAAAGGACCAGTGTTTTGGGGGTTTTTTTCCCTTTTAAAAAAATATTTTATGGCTGAGCGCAGTGGCTCAAGCCTGAAATCCCAGCACTTTGGGAGGCTGAGGTGTGAGGATTGCCTGAGCTTAGGGGATTGAGACCAGCCTGGGCAACTTGGTGAGACTGCATCTCTACAACAAATAAATTTAAAGAATAAACCGGGTATGTAGTTCCAGCTACTTGGAAGGCTGAGGTGAAAGGATCTCCTGAGCCCAGCAGGTCAAGGCTGTGATGGATGTGAGTGTGCCACTGCACTCCAGCCTGGGCAACAGAGTGAGAATCCAACTCAAAAATAAAATAAGTAAATAAATATTTTATTGTGTGTATTTGCATTTACAGAATGATGTTATGAGATACATATACATATTAAAACAGTTACTATGATAAAGCAGATTAGCATATATAAGACTGTGTTTTTAAATATGAACCTATCACACTGACTCTCTAGGTATTTGTCAAAGCTGGAGACAAAGTGAAAGCTGGGGATTCTCTGATGGTTATGATCGCCATGAAGATGGAAGTAGGTGAAATCACATGTTTAGTTGCTAAGTAAACTTTGGAACCCCGTGGATCTAATTGTTCTTTTGCCTTATTTTATCTTAATATCATCTTCAATATGAAGAGCCATTGGCTGACTAAGCATTAACTGTAGGAGAGAAAACCAAGCCATCCTTCTTGTAAATACATTTTCATTTTAATTTTGTGCAGTCGTTTTCTCATTTCTGATTCTGAAATTATCAATTATCAATCGCTTGGAATCAGGTAGTCCCCCAACTGAATGTTAACTGCTGGTGGTTTTTTTTTAATTAAAAAAAATTTATTGTAAAGATGTGGGGTACAAGTCAGGATTAGGTACATAAGTAGAGCAAGTGCAGGTGAAGTTTGGGCCCCAGCTGCTGGTGTTTTCTAAGGCTGAAGTTGAACATGCCAGTAATCAGTATCAAAGTGAAAATCTCAATCAAATTAGTTGTTTAGGTTATAAGATGGTTGAAAATTGTATGTCGGTTGTTGTTAGGCCTGGCTGAACTTTAGACAGTGTCCAACTTACAATGTAAAGAAAAATCTTAGGCCAGGCGTGGTGACTCACGCCTATAATCCCAGCACTTTGGGAGGCCAAGGTGAGAGGATTGCTTAAGCCCATGGGATTGAGACCAACCTGGGCAACTTGGTGAGACCCCATCTCTACAATAAATCAAAAAATTAGCTGGGCATGGTGGTATGTGTCTGTAGTTCCAGCTATTTGGAAGGCTGAGGCAGAAGGATTGCCTGAACCCTGCAGGTCAAGGCTGTGGTGGCCGTGAGCATGCCACTGCCCTACAGCCTGGGTGATAGAGTGAGACTCCTACTCAAAAAAAAAAAAGAAAGAAAAAACTTAGGATTTTTCACCTTTATGATGATGCAAGAGCCATACACGATCAGTATGCTGCTCAGTTTTCAGTGGGTTTATTTGGAACTACCCCATCAGAAGTCTAGGAGCACCTGTACAGTCACTTAGGGAGCTTTTAAAAACGACTCCCCAGAGGGTGAACTGGGGTCTCCAGGAGTAGAGTCCCAAGATCAATACTTTTAAAAGCTTCCCTTGGCCGGGCTCAGTGGCTCAAGCCTGTAATCCCAGCACTTTAGGAGGCCGAGGCAGGAGGATTGCTTGAGCCCACGGGTTCGAGAACAGCCCAGGCAACTTGGGAAGACCTCTTCTCTACAATAAATCAAAAAATTAGCTGTGCGTGGTAGCATGCGCCTGTAGATCCAGCTACTTGGAAGGCTGAGGCGGAAGGATCACCTGAGCCCAGCAGTTCGAAACTTCGGTGGCTGGGAGCGTGCCACTGCACTCCAGCCTGGGCAACAGAGTGAAACTCCAACTCAAAAAAAAAAAAGCTTTCCAGGTGTGATTCTAATGTGCAGCTCTAGTTAAGAACTACTAAATAGACCAGAAGTGTCCAGGCTTGTCCTTGAATGGGTCATCAGTGCGTCCTAATGCTGATTCCTCTCCCCCTAAGCACACCATAAAAATGTTCCCATTCTTTCTGTGCACTATTATGGGGAAAAAAAAGGTTGGATAGCACTGAGACTACAAAACATCCATACAATTGTCTACACTCTTCACTTTCCATCTCACTTTCTTAACTTGGTGTATATATATACTTAGTCCTTGTTGGTATTGCAACTATTGTTTGTCTGCCTTGTGTCTCTGCAGCATACCATAAAGGCTCCAAAGGATGGCACAATCAAGAAAGTGTTCTATGAAGAAGGTTCTCAGGCCAACCGACATACTCCTTTAGTTGAGTTTGGGGAGGAAGAATCTGACAAAAGGGAATCAGAATAACTCCAGCAAAGAAATGGCCAGTTAAGCAGTATCAATTTATTTCTGTGCCAAAAAGAAGTGCCTTCTGCTTTTCTTGGGTTCTTATAAACAGTTTTACTATGATTATATAATTGTGCTAAAACACTTTCATATTTGAGAATTATGTATTTGGGTCACAAATATAATAAATTGTCTCAAAATATTTAATACTAATAAAATCAAATTATGCTTTTTTTATTGGAAACTACTGTTTGTTTCTGCTCCAAATTTTATACAATGTAGTATCTTTTAGGAAGGGGAGTAGAAACTTGATCAAAAGAGGACTGGAAGAGAAAAGGTCATTAAACTAAATGAATTACTTCCCAGTTACAGTCATGGTGAAAATAGACAGTAATGTGTTTCAGAGACAGATGCCATAGGGTTAAACTCAACCAAGGTTTTGTGTCCCCAAAGATAACTTATATGGCAGTTTAAAAGCCTGGATGTTGTCTCTGGTCTTTGTGATTGGAAAGTTTCTATCTAGATTGCCTTTGCTTTTATTTTCTATGAGAGGGAATCCCGAAAAACCTGAAATTTATAAAAAATTGTGTATTTATTTATATATTTAAACTTAAGTCACCTTCAAAGCACTCTCTGATGCATTATACTTATCCAGACACTTTTTCCACTGCTCAAAACAAATTTTGAACTTGTCAATTTTGATGTCCTTTAGTACTTCTGCAGTTTTTTGTTTTGCCTCTTCCACATCAACAAAAACATTTTCCTTGAGGACTTTTTTCATCCAGGAAAACAAAAAAGTCACTCAGGATGAGATCAGGTGAATAGGGAAGGTGGGACATGGGGGGTCATGCCTTTTTTGGTCCCAAACTGCTGAACACTCAGCACATTATGGGAAGGTGCACTCGTTAATCACCTATCACGAAATGGGCAAACATGTTGAAAGAATCTCCCCCCAAAAGTTCACTGAAGCCAAACACAGCCTCTCACAAAACGCTAGCTGGTACACTGCTGCCACTGGGCTCCTAGAATACTTACCTGTTGAGGAAAGCCTGTACTACAAGTGCCTGCCCTCAAAAAGAGTAATTCTGAGTTTTTGGGGGGATTTCCCTTCATAAGCTTGTAAAATATATATATATATTATATGCTAGAATATATTAACATTTAATAATATAAGTTTGAAGGCGGGCACAGTGGCTCATGCCTATAATCCCAGCACTTAGGGGGGCTGATGCGAGAGGATTGCCCGAGCCCACAAGTTCAAGACCAGCCTGAGCAACTTGGTGAGACCTTTTCTCTACAGTAAATCAAAAAATTAGCCAGGCGTGGTGGTGTGTGCCTGTGGTTCCAACTACTTGGAAGGCTGAGGCGGAAAGATTGCCTGAGCCCAGCAGGTCGAGGCTGCGATGGCCGTGAGTGTATCACTGTCCTCCAACCTGGGCGGCAGAGTGACAGTTTGACTCAAAATAATAAGTTTGGGGTAAATTTGAAAAATACTTTGGGAGGCCGAGGTGAGTGAATTGCCTGAGGCCGCGGGTTCGAGACCCGCCTGGGCACTTGGCGAGACCTCATCTCTACAATAAATCAAAAAAAAATTAGCTGGGCGTGGTAGCACACACCTGTAGTTCCAGCTACTTGGAAGGCTGAGGCGGAAGGATCGCCAGAGCCTAGCAGGTTGAGGCTGCAGTAGAGGGAGCGTGCCACTGCACTCCAGTCTGGGCGACAGAGTGAAACTCCAACTCAAAAAAAAAAGAAAAATACAAATTTACAGAAAGAAACTAGAAAGCCTGACTCTGTTGAATACTTTTTTAAGAAACACTTTTTTGTTTGTTTTTGAGAGACAGCATCTCGCTGTGTCAACCAAGTTGTAGTGCAATGGCACAATCATAACTCGCTGCAGCCTCAAACTCCTAGTCTCAAGCAATCCTTCTGCCTCAGCCTCCCAAGTAGTCAGGACTATAGGCATGTGCCACCATGCCCAGCTGATTTTTTATTTTTTAATTTTCCATAGAGATAGGGTCTTACACTGTTACCCAGGCTGGTCTCAAACTCTTAGGCTCAAGCAATCCTTCCACTTCCCAAAGTGCCGGGAGTATAGGAATGAGCCACCATGCCCAGTCACATTTTTTATTATTATTAAAAAAAATCCTTAGAATTAAAAACTTCAGTTTTATGTCTTTACTTTTGCTTAGATTCTGTTACTGTTACTAACAGATGTGTGGCCCTCTGCATTTTTACATATTCTTGAAGTGTTAAATATTTGTTTAATTGAGTTCTTGCTGAATACATAAGACTGTGTTAAATGTTGTAGAAAATACTAAGAAACACAAAAGATGGTCTCTCTCTACTTTAAGACATCTCTGATTTCATTGGGAAAGTAAAACATAAAATCCTGTCTGCTAAGATTTGGATATGTCCCTCACATTTCATGTGTTGAAAATGTAATCCCAAAGTGGACGTGTTCATTGAAGGTGAAGCTTTGGAGAGGTAATTAGGATCAGATTAAGGTCATCAGAAGCCCCCATGATGGGACTGGTGACGTTATAAGATGGGGAGGACAGACCTGAGCACGCTCCTGCCCTCTTGCCATGGGGTGCTCTCCTGGTGCTCTCCACCAGGTCACGACGCGGCAGGAAGGCCCTCACCAGATGTAACCCCTCCATCTTGAACTTCCTAGCCTCCAGAACGACAAGAAATAAACACTTTATAAATTACCCAGTCTGTGGTATTATAGCAACACAAAACAGACTGACAATGCCAAAAGCTACATTATGTGGGAGAACATCAAATCCAAAATTAATTTATCTCCTGACTACCAAGGAAGCAATTTTACCATCAAAGTAGTGGTGAGAGAGGTACCATAATATTAAAGTTGGAAAAAATGCTAGGTTCTCAAATAATTCCGATTACACAGCTTAGTTAGAATGTCCATTTTTCTAATGAGGCAACAGGTAACTCTGTCTCCCAAGATGTGGGTGGAGGTGAAGACTGCTGTCATGACTGATACACACAGTAGGTATTTTAGGAGCTGGAGTGAGTGAGAGAGTTTTGTGGCAGGTGTGATCAGGGTAGTTTTCCTAAAGGAAGGAGAACCCAAGGGAGGTTGTGTAGGCTGGAAATGAAGAAGGAGCAGGGCTTCACTGTTGAAAATGAGCAAGATGCGTGCTAGGCCAAGGAGCAGACCTGCTCAGCTCAAGTGGGAAGTGCTTTTGTGGGAGAGAGAAGGTGTGGCATTTAACCTAGGGCCAGATTGTAACTGGCATGGACTGTCAGGCTGGGATTTTATCCTGCTAGTAGTGGCTACATTAAATCATTTTTTAGCTGGAAAAGCAATGATATCTGGGGACATTTTATCTGACTGTTGGAGTCCCTTTGAAAAACATTAGCATTATTTCACATAGTGGAACTTTTTTTTACCCTATAACCTAATATCTCACTTCTAGAAATACACATGTGCACCCAGGGTGTTCACAGCCCCATGACCCATAACGGCAACGCGTTGGAAACAATCAGAGTTGGTAGGAGAAAGTGTGGTTTGGGCACACTGTGGACTTACTATGTAGCAACAAAGTAATTTTATAACATCAACAGTGGATGAGTCTTGGAATCGTAATAGGCTGGACATGGTAGCTCATATCTTGATCGGCCCAGGGGACAGCTTCCAGCAGTCCTCCTGTTCGGCCTCCCAAAGTCTTTAGATTATAGGTGTGAGTCACTGTGCCTGGCCTCTTTTTAAAAACTGGAATTTAACATTTTCTTTTTTTTTTTTGATTTGACATTTGCTTTTTATTCCTATTCATGTTTTTTTTATTTTAAATTTTATTTTTAGTTTAATTATTATTATTTTTTGAGTTGGAGTCTCACTCTATCGCCCAGGCTGCATGGCACACTCACAGCCACTGCAGCCTCCACCTGCTGGGCTTAGGCTATCCTTCCGCCTCAGCCTTCCAAATAGCTGGAACTACAGGCACACGCCACCAAGCCCCGCTTATTTTTTTTAATTTATTATAGCGACGAGGTCTCGCCATGTTGGCCAGGCTGGTCTTGAACCACTGGACTCAGGCAATCTTTTCACCTTGGCCTTCCAAAGTGCTGGGATTACAGGCTTGAGTCACTGCACCTGGCCAGTATCTTAAAAAAAAGATGTGGGGTACAATTCAGAGTTAGGTATACAAATGTTCATCATGCAGGTACCCCCCCACCCGAAAAAAACTGGAATTTAAAAGTTTCAAAGATGGAAATTGTGATTAGCTCTGGGTATTAGGCAAGGAGTTGGGATGAGTGAATTATGTATAGCTTCTGCTAATTTTCTAGTTGTTGGGCTGGGTTGTTGGTTGGTTATATTCATGACAGAATGATGTTTCATAACTACCATGTGACAGCTAAACGTTTTATAATTCAAATAAGAATTTTTAAATATATTTGGAAAAATTTCATCTGGCAGCAGTGTGCACGCTGGATAGAGGAAGGAAAGCCTTGCGGCTAGGAAACCAGTTAGGAAGTAGTTCTTAACAGACACTTAGGCATGAGGTAATAAAGGGCTAGACCGTCTAACCAGAGTTCTTTAAACCGTATTTTTAGCAACAGAACTTTTTCTTTCCAAACAAAACTCACTCTGTTCAAAAGAGGGACAAGCAAAGGAGCCCTGATGAAAATTTCAGGTTGCTGTTTGCCACCTTCCGGAAATGCTGTTGTATCCTTCAATGGAACAAGGTCAAGTTCTCTATTTCATTGTTAAGTGTCTGTGTTGTGGGTATGTGTGTAGAGAATTTGAAGCCAGCTAGCCCAATTACCCACATATTGGGATCATCACCAGTCATGCTGTGTGAGCAGAGTTCTTTTGCACATGAATGCGTCTGTTTATTCTACAGACACTTATAGGGCATTTGCTGTATACCAGGGCCTCCAGAAACAGATGGTAAGAGACGATTTCTTTCCTTGCCCTATCAAATGAGAAACAGACTCCAACTGTATACAAAAATGTAAGATAATTACACTATGTAGTAAGTGGTATAATATACCTGCACTGGGTGCCATGGGGGGGTGGAGTGAAATGATAAATTCTGCTTTGAGTCAGGAAGCTGAGGGAGAAGCGGTGACATCTGAACTGGAATTTGAAGGATAGCCATTTGCCGGGTGGAGGAGGAAGGTGGCAAGTCCAGGCCATGGCAGGCAGAGGGACTCGTGAGGGCTGATAATAACAATAAGGCATGAAAACATATGATGTGTTCAGGGCACAGAGAGATC